AGTTGCACCCAAGCCTGCAAATTTACAGTTTAATAGATGCAAACGCAATCCAATATGTCTATAAATGTTTGTCTTTGAGTTACCATTTATGGTAACAGCATACGGCCTAGGTTAAACTCCCTGATTAGAATTTTAGGCATCAGTTTTTGGTGGATAACATGCAATTGTTTGGCTTGCAGAGATGCTCTTGATGCTTTGGGCTTGGTTCGTTATTGTTGCAGGCGGATGCTCATGACACACGTTGACCTTATTGAGAAGCTTCTGAACTACAACAGTAACCTCTCTCTCTCTTTCACACACAAAAACGCTTTTTTGTTCATTTCAGCTGCTGCTTAATGCTCTGTCTGTCTCTGTTAACTTGCTTCGTTTTTTGCAGCTTTGGAAAAATCAGAGACTAGCTGAGGAAGCATCTGGAGCTACCTGAAGTTGGTGTAATTGTAAGCTATTATGGTTTCATGCATGAGTGTTAATCATTGCATGACTGTTTGTTGCTGTTTACTAGGTTTTACAAAACTTGGGCTGTGATGTTAAGCCAGACAATTGAAATCTGATTAGTTGTGCTTGACAGAATGAAGTCAATGCTTTAGTTCTGTAATGGATCTTTTCTACTAACTGCGTAGTAATTTGGGATATCCTTTTATCTTGGTATTTCCACTGTTTAGTGAAAGAATATGATACGTCTTTTATGAATGCAATACATAATAGAGGTTTATACTTTATTAAACTTGCCTTGTGTTATCTTTGGAACCACGGGCTAGTTCCGGTTCTCAAAATTATTTATTTGTTTATTGTCATAGAAGATATCAGTATGTTATTGTGACAATCTGACGCAGTGACCCTGGTTGATTATGGGTTTCGTATGGTGCTTGTAGTCCCATTATCCAAAATTCCTAAATGGGCAAATACCAATTGGTTTTTTGTCTACTCCAAATAGGAAATTACCAATTTTAATCGCTAGATTTCTTTTTTTTTTTTGGGGGGTGTATGTATCCACCTCAATTTTTCATGGTCATAGAGCTAAAACCTGCTCCATCACCTTCTTATTTTTTTCTTTCTAGTGAGTACTAGATTTTTTGCATTCTCTTCAAATACCAGTGTCCTGTCTGGACATTCGCTTTCATAGTTTTTGACCCCTATGGCTTTGTACCGTTTTGTAGTATCGTAAACTTTTTGACGATTGTTTTCCAAGATGTAGACAATTGCAACCATTTTCAATGTGAACAACAGTATGTAATTTTCAAGCACTAAAAATGTTAATATAATTACATAAACGACAATACTATCTTTATTATAATTATAAAACAAAAAAAATTAATGATAACGCATCCTATTGGATATTCAATAGACTAAAAACGAAATTGGTGACACACGACACAACACCATTATTATAATTATAAAACATAAAAATTAACGACAACACATCCTCTCGTTCAATAGGCTAAAGTAGAAATTGATAACACACGACACAACACGACGAACCAACTTTCTTAGAACCATGGGTGGGATACATTCGACGAACAAATCCAAATAGAATTGTTACTTGATCTTCACATTTTTCTAACACTAATAAACCATCTTCCCAACCACCATTTCGCTGTACTAGTCCTTCTAATTCGCTGTTGACTTGTTGACCAAGCCATCAGCAAGTTCTGCAGCCCTCCACCTCACCTCATCCACAAAGGCTTGCAAGTTACTCCCAGAAGAACCATCCTCCGCCAGGGCTGCCTCTGCTGCTGCCTTCCATTTCAAGGCGTTCTGCTTAATATTTGCTGCCTTGGCGCCAGACGTGGCCTCACGCAAGCACTTCTCTATTTCTTCCCTTGGAATTGTTCTGTTTTCAGCCATTCCACAGCCCATCCTCACTCCTGTCTTGAACACATCTATTAAGTATACGGCATCCGTTACCTGATCACCAAATTGTGGGAATGTGATGACCGGTATTCCGGAGCAGAGTGACTCCATCGTAGAGTTCCAACCACAGTGCGTCACGAAGCAGGCTACCGAAGGGTGATTCAACACCTTCTCTTGTGGACTCCATTGCACGACCTTCCCATTATCTCCTAATTTCTCCCAGAATCCTTCGGGAAGATGATTGTGGGGCGATCTCAATGCCCATAGGAAAAACATACCAGAATTCAACAGCCCATGGGCAATCTCATGAACTTGTTCTTGTTTCAAAATAGCAAGACTGCCAAATGAAATGTATACCACTGATGAAGGAGGTTTCGAGTCGAGCCATTCAATGCAGCCTAAATCAGCCTTCAGAAGATCGCCCTTGATGGTGACGTTTTGGTCCTTGTAGAGTGGACCGACAGTCTTGAGCGGGCAAAGCTTTGACATGTAGTCAATGATTTCGAACTCGAGTTCTTGGAAAGTGTCTAACAATATGCAGAAAGGCAAATGGAGGTTCTTGAACTGATCCAAAATTCCCCTCCTCAAGGAAGGAAAACGTGATTCTGGAAGCAAGTAGGTGGGAATTTGGTCGTGTTTCAACAATGGCATACAAGGCAATTGAACGTCGATTTTTGGATGAGTTTGAGTTGGAAAAGGCACCAACCCATGATAGTAATGGTAGTACGCAGCGAAAGAGGCACAGGATTGAACCCAGAGCAACGCACAAGGCAAGCCAAGAGCGTGCGCAAGATCAAACACCCAAGGGATTAATATGTTGGTAATGAGGCAGGAAACGGGGCGGTTGTGTTTGGCATTTTTTGCGATCAACTGAGGGATCGCTTGTTTTCCTACCTTCTCCATCTGTGGCAGGTATTGGTCAGGGTCTTCACGTCTTGGATCCTCGTCTTCCCATCCATCCTCAAAGAACTCAAAACGGATAAAGCCGTCACCAATTGGGGTAGACTCTTCATTGATGTTGCCAAGTTTTCTCAACTGTTTTCCAATATGGGCGGGCGCGGAGAAAGTCACTAGCAAACCTTTAGAGGCAAGACGTTTGCCGAGCCTAAAAAGAGGGTTGATATTGCCCTGTCCAAGGCAAGAAACGAGAAAAACGTGAACAGGAGACTGGGATTCCATTTGGTGTATTGGTTTTGCTTGGAAGAGTGGTGTTTGTGAGGAAACATTGAGCAGGTTGAAGTGTCAATATATAGTGTGTTATCAACCCAAGGGTTAAATCGGGTAATAATACCCATAAATTGATGGATGAGTTGACAGAGAATTCTTTCAACTTAATTAGAAGTCTTGATTTCAAGTCCTACAATCCATTAAAACTCTTGAAGGAAAGTTTTGCCGTCCGTTAGATCTTACCGACTCAAATCCAAATTTAGTTGATGGCTCAGTAGGATTCTGGATATCGGGTGGCCCATATAAAAAATCGACTAGTAAAAAAATGTTGCTTATATGTTATATGCAAAGGTTTAAGTTTTGGCTAATATTTAAAAATATTAATTTTTTTTTGAAATGTACTAAATTAATATGAGAGTATACCTTAAAAAATATATATATTTTTTAAAATTAATTTTAAATCAGGTAAAAGTTATACATAACATCATAGTATTTAAACAAATATATATATATGCCATTTTAGCTTTCAACTTTTTCATTGTATAATGACTATATAGAGGGTAAAATGTATCTACCTTTCAAATTTTTTTCCCCAAATAACTTGCAATGGTCTTTCTTCTTGTATATCGTGCTGAAAGTAACACAAACCTAACTCCATTGACATCCTTCATCACCTAAAAATGTTGCGGGTCTGTTCCT